GGGATTCACTGAACAAATCATTGTCCAACCACATCGGAAGGTCTTGTATATCTTCAATAATTTGGCCTTAAATGGGCACTGCACAATTGCAACATATTACAGAAGCTTAAATGCAATAACAATTTACATTTATACAGAGGATTTCGCCTCGGGAGGACGTCTCAAACTGCTGCACAACGCTGCTGACCTGACTGGGAGCCTGAGCTACGTGTGTGGGGGAATAGGCGAAGGTACAGTCAAATAGATAGGTCTATTTAAGGTGGGCTTTAATAATAATAAATAATAATAATAATCCTTGCATTTGATATAGTGCTTTTCGCATCTTCTCGACATCTCAAAGCGCTTCACAGAATAGACTGTAAAGTGAATTGACTGTATATTTGTGGGCGAAACATGGCAGCCAATTGCGCACAGCAGTGTCCCACAAACAGTCGTGGATTGAAGATGACCAATTTATTATTGGTTTGTTTTGGAGGGATTATTATTAGGCGTGTGGAGTAAGGAAATTTGCCCAAGGTTTCGCCATGTCTGGAATTGAACCCAGGTGTCTCGCTTGCAAGGCGAGTGCTCTAACCACTGAGCTACAGGACTCCACTTTAACAGTGGAGAGGGAGGGGGAGCAGAATCAACACTGCACTGAATACAGGACAATCACCATTTTAAGAATCCTCATTTCGAGGTGGCGGATGGGGAAGAGAATTTATTTATCAAATAAAATATACGGAGCAGAAGAAACTGATCACAAGATCAAGTCTTGCCCAAAAAATGGCACCTCAAACCTCACAGCATTGGAGTGCCATACACGTCAGTGAGCTAAGCTCTCAATGTGGGCCTTGAACACACCGCGTTTAAAGGAAAGCAATGATAATAATAAACAATAATGTAGGAAAATGTCAACACACCAACTCGCCAAGGATGATGCAGCATTACCTACAAATGCCATGGAAATGCCCATGTCTTGCTTAATTCCCCTCCCACTGCACGGAAACAAAAGTGCTTAGGGGTGAAATGTTCTGGGGAAATTAAAATGTCGAACGTCCATGTAATTTCATTTACTTATTGTTGTTTTTGCGGTGCTCAGTATTACCTTGAGGATATCCCAGTTATTGCAAGACTAAATCTCGGATGCGTTGGCAGCAGATAAAGACCCAAATGTTTTGCCTATAAAATACACAGTCAATTCACTTTATTCTGTGAAGTACTTGGAGGCATCTTGAAGATGTGATAAAGCGCGATATCAAATGCTAGGATTATTATTATTAACCACGACACTGAATCATGGTAATAAATATTCTCAATGTTTATACTGATCCACGCGTTGGGAGTCAGAAATAAGGCAACAGAATTGTGAGAATTCACTGTGAGCTTCACACATGTGAAAGAGTGATAAATATGCCCAGCATTTGGTGAAATTTTGACGTGTGGAGTCAAATCTTTGAGAACTTTTTTTTACAGCAGGGTAGTGTCTTGGAGTGCTGCAAACACACTAAGGTGGAATGCTGTTTTGAGAAACAAATGGGCAGTCCCATTGGGAAATACACAGTAATTTTATGCACAATAAGCTTATAAAAATCCAAGAGAAATCGACCATAATATCGAAACTACTGGGTCAATTCTATATCATAATAATCCTCGCATTTGATATAGCGCCATATCACGCGTTCGAGACATCTCAAAGCACTTCACAGAATATACTGTAAAGTGAATTGACTGTATATTTTTTGTGGGCGAAACACGACAGCCAATTGCACACAGCAGTGTCCCCACAAACAGTCTAATAAAAATAATGGTTCCCCACCTCCCACCCCCTATCCCTCCTACCGCCAGCACGTCCTTCCTTAAATATACCAACCCCCTGTGGGCTACTGTAAGAGAAAAGTTATGATATAAAGTCTATTCTTGCACACTGTGCTGTGAGGTTTGTTCCATAATAAAGGGTAAATATTCCCAAATGAACAGCATTTATTGATTTCCAAGCAGAGCAAACTAGGCAATCTTCACCGTGCTGAACAATTATTAAAATTCTTTTGATGAGCTGCATCTTTTGAAATGAATATAACTGGCTATTTCAGTGCAGTACAAAAAAAACACTCTATGAAATTGCCAAGCTGTTGCTGAAGTCCCCTGATAATGAAAAACCAGCCTGGAATACTAATCTGGCAATTGACTTCCAGCAGATTCAGAAGGTGAGGTAAGGTAGAAAATGACTGTCACACCATTGTCCTAAATTGACTACATAGAGACATATACACCATAAAACAGAATACATCAGTAATTGCAGTAGGCGGTTAGAGCAAGTTAAAACATGGCTGGCAGCATTCATCATTCCCAGTGTACAGTCCTGGGCTGTGAGGATGGCAAGACTTGCCTTGGTGCAATAGACTTGCCTCCCTACAATAGGACACCAAAGAATTTCATCGCTACTTGCAGACATAAAAATGATAGCAAAAATGCACCAAGGCATGGCGCAACAACAACTTGGATAGAGATAGCGCCCCTCAAGCAGGGTAGCGACTCAGAACACTTAAGCAAATGCTGCAGAAAGTCCACTCTTACACAATGGAAACTGAATTTTTCATATGGTCCTTTTTCATCTGAACCAATCTTGTGATCTTGGGAACCCTCCACTCAGGAGCAAGTTAGTAGATTGGCTTTCGAAATGGCTGAAAAACATTTGCGGACGCATCCTGTCCAGAACTGATCAGAACTGTGAAGTTGATATGGTCGCTTCAGACATCCAACCAGGTACATTTTCTGAGGAGTTTCTACACCATTAAATCGAGTCTAGTCACAGCAGGAAGAATTCCTCCAATTGTCAGTGCTGACATCTCAATCACACAGGCACATCGCGTTTAGGTTTACAGGGGAAATCCACACCGATGTTCAAAATCATCCACAGAATCTAATATCAGCACAAAAGAACGGGTTAAGATATTGTGGGTTGAATTTGCATTTGTTCTTAACCGGACTCCTTTGTAAAGAAACCAAATGGTGCAAACAGCGACTGGAGCTGACCCCGGGTATTGCCCAACTCCACAAATTACAGAATTTCTCAATCTCATTCCAGAGCAGAGGTCGATGGGAATACCACCTGGATTTGTCACTTAGAAATCGAGTTAAGAAATGTCATAAATTAGACCCCGTTGCCCTTCTCTTTAATTGAAATATAGACTCAGCCTGGAAGCAAAAACTGGTTTGTGGGATGTGGGGAATTGAGCCAGTGTCTGTCATCTGGTCTGACATTTCACTCACAACATCATGACTGCCTTCCGAGACGAAGACCAAAGCTGGTTGTTCTTTCAAAGCTGTCAGTCTGTCATCCCGCTACAAGCTGAATTGATGGTACTGTTAAAGTGGTTGGACTATGAACAATGGATTCAATTCCATCACTTCGGTTTGTTACTGAAATATTTTCTTCTCAACATTGAAGTCCTTTCTTAACCTTTTAATCTCAAGCACTTTTCAATCAAATAGCGTTCTTTTTTTTAAAAAAAAACAAGCAGCCGGCAACATTAAGAATTGGTTTGAGTAATTCTTACAACCACTTGCATTTATATAAGCGCCCTTCACATAGGATAACGGCTAAACGTTTCACAATTCGCTTTCCACCTGGGAATATATTTACTCTGTTTATGAAGCATTTCAGAGCTTCCAGAATTTGGAAAATTGTTGAATGTTGCTGTGCGCAAAACACACAGTCGATCCATTTTACAATATATTCTGTGGAGCGCTTTGAGACATCTCAACGACGTGATAAGGGCTATATAAAATGAATGGGCTATTATTATTAGAATTAATAAATCAGTTGTAACTTTCAAATCGGTTTCCTGTAGTTCTTAAAAGAAATTTACAGCCTTAATCCTGAAAACGATATTCTGTATTTAAGGAATTGCCAAATTCCAAACAGTCTAAAATGTTACACAAAAAAAAAAGCAGCAAGCCTAGACCCAGGTGAAATTACTCCCCAGTTGACTCAACACTCAGTTGAATTTTTTTTTCTATTAAGCCGAAATGTAAAGGTTTAAGTCCTCGATTAGTGGGACCAAAAGCCTGTGCTATCCTCCGCTCTGTCACATTCTATTTTGCAGATGGCATATTCCATTAGCATTTCTCTCATTCTCACTCGTATCAAAGGAGCTCTCTTTTTCAGCCTATTCATTCACCTCGTCTCATTTGCCACCAATAACTCTGCAGCATGTGCACAGTGGAGAGGAATCAAGGGATTGTGCTCAGTCAATTGTTGAATATGTATTACCGAGATGTATGTCTTTGTACAGTGTGAGTGTCCACTCAACCAATCTCAGTGCTATAAATCAACGCAAGAAAAGAAGAGGAATATTTAATGAGAAATTATTTTTATATGGTTAATTTTATCAGTCAGTGTAAAAGAAATGTGATCACTGTCAGTGTACAGAGCATAAACTTCCAATATAGTGGCAGGCTTCGTGAGCATGATCTCTTTCCACATAAGTTGTTCACAACTTGAGAGCATGATCTCTTTCCACATAGGCTTGTCTTAATCAAGTCACACAAACAAATACACAGTCACTACAATCTAAAATAAATGCTGTGAAGTGCTTTGAGACATGGATGATGATAGGTGGCTGTATCAAAGGTGAGGATGAATTGTTATTAACATCTTTAAGAAGAGGAGAAAAAGGCAAAACAAAAGCATTGAAATAACTGGATAACTCACTTGTGTGACTCTCGTGCTGTTTGTATTGCTGGGAAGAAGGATAATCCTTGCATTTGAAGCGCTTTTCACGTCTTCTAGCTGTCTCAAAGCGCTTCACAGAATATACTGTAAAGTGAATTGATTGTATATTTGTGGGTGAAACCCGGCAGCCAATTGCGCACAGCAGCGTCCCACAAACAGTCGTGGACTGATGACCAAATTATTTTATTGATTTATTTTTGAAGGGATTATTACCCTCGGAAATTATTATTTTTCTTGAGGGATTATTATCAGGCGTGTGGAGTAAGGAAACTTGCCCAAGGTTTCGCCCTACCGGGAATCGAACCCAGGCCTCTCACTTAAGTGGCGAGTGCTCTAACCCCTGAGCTACAGGACTCCAACGCGAATAAATGAGTTGTAGAAGCCAGGGCACCAATTGACTAAATAAAAGGGCAATAGAGGAGGGAAGCAGTTGATTAGTGGAGTTAGCATTTACAAAGCATACACAGTAAAGGGCAGAGCAGAGAGAAGTGTCCAATATGGTCAAAAAGTGAGCTGACACTCCTCTCTGACAACCGAGGATTCATAAATGTCTTGTTTAAAGGGCACCGAGGCTACAACCTGTAATTTCTGAGCATACCGTGCATCGGTCATTTAAAGGGCAGCAGTCTGCCCTGTACCAAACATTGCACAGCGAGTTGTGTGCTGTTCTGGGGGCAGAGTCACAGTCAATGTTCAAGAGTCGCTGGTGCTGTTTGAATTCAGATTCAAGCTGTGGATCTAGAAGAAAGTTCAGGAGAACTTCTTTACATTGAGGGTGGTGAGAATGTGGAACTCAATGCCAGAAGCCCTGCTCGAAGCAGAGAGCATCAATGAATTCAAGAAAGAAACTCGCAAACAAAAGGGAGAAGGGAATAGTGGAGTAAGAAGGAGCCTGGAGGGGGAGGGAGAATTAGAGTGAAGGCTCATGTGGAGTATTTTCCGCCATGGACTGGATGAGCCAAAGAGCTGTTTCATACTGTAAATTCCATGTAATTCTACAGAATGTGTAACAGACGAAACTTCTGCACACCCAATTCACAACTGAGGTGCATCTTACACCCACACTTCATAACAGTGATCAATCCTGACAAAGGAAATGGTTTCCAGCAGCCTTGTAAATAACAGATAAAAGTGTAATGCTGTCTATAAACGAGTGCATTGGATCTTACAATACACAAATGAAAGAACTCCCAACAAGGCTGCTTGACAATATTCTGGATTCTGTTAATGGTATTATATGGTGTGCAGACTGCGAACTTCTTTGTCATTACACAGAACGGAATGGTTGAAAGGATGAGTAGCGACAGCATTGATCGGAGTCTCAGTTTCTGTTTGATGTGCAAGTCGTAATGAAAAAAGCGGTTCTTCGAAGCATATTAAAAAATTATGACAGCGGTAAGTACTCTGCCTATGAGAAGCGCTCACACGGAGCAGAAAGCAGTCAAATATTCATTACCGCAGTCATGGCGGAGAAAAAAAATTGCTTTTACATCCAATAAAGCTCAAGATTGATTGCTTAGTATTTCAACATGACGTTGTTTGTAGTGCCGGAGCTTTGATTTTAACAAGGTATCAGTAAGCTGTTAGCCATGTTGAAACAGCAGCCCGCAGGCAATGTTGCGGATAAAGAAAGCTTCTCACGAAAGCCCTATGCATTATTGTGGGTGACCTCATTACTCCAAATCCCTGAACCTCTTATCATGACTCAGCTTGAATGGACTTGTCTGGTTTGGTGCCTTCCTCCCTCTAGAGGTTGGTGATCAACACGTTCCATCCATTCCTTTAGCTGCAGCCCAATGATTGTGCCAATTCCTGCCCATTCATCGGCCACTTTCCTCTTCACCTGCCCTTGTTCCATTGCTCTTTGCCCACAAAATACACAGTCAATTCACTTTACGGTATACCCTGTGAAGCGCTTTGAGATGTTTTGAAAAGCTAGGTCGCCAGAATGTCTTCAAAAGGTGCAAGACAGCATTTGGCTTGTGTATTGTTGATGCTACATGGAGCCAGCATCGTGTAGCAAGCCCTGGGTAAAAGCTTATCAGAAGACAAACACACTTGCCCAAATCAGACAGTTGAAAACGACAGCAGGAAAGGTCTGAAGATCATCCACAAGGCTTCCAACGAGATCTCTTTACGAGATGTCTTAAGCAAGACACTCAGCTGGAGTCATCATTCTTCAAAGTATTCACAATGGCAGAGAAGATGACAGATTGTCCACACATACCCACTCTCTCTCTCTCTCACACACACACACACACACATAAACATAAGGCTTCAGTGACACGGAAGATTCTGGGATACAAACTTTGAGGTTATGTCACGGGTTAGTGCAGTAATTGAAATGCCTGCAGGAAGGGTGCTGTATAAATGCAAGTTGCTATTGTTCATCCTGTATGGAATCCAGAGAGCTCCTTCACTAACCTCCCACACACACAAGGGGAAGCGATCTATTGGTTGCTTATTGGTTCTAGCAGTAAGCAGTACCACTGGTCCTTGCCAGTCAGTGGAAAATCCCAACTAGTTAATCCAGTCATTTCCTCATGTTGTCACTGTGCGCTTCTGAACACTGATGGCAAAACTTTTGCCCACAAAACACACAGTCACAACACTTTACAGCATGTCTTGCGAAACACTTTGGGATGTCTTGAAGTCGTGTTAAGGTGCTATATCAAATGCAGAAAATAAAAGGCTTCTTTTTCCAAAAAGAAACTTGGGATCTGTTGGCTTAGTTCTGTAAAAGTTTTACTTTGTAAGAGCATTGGTTTACCAAAGCACTATTAACACCTCTGAGTGATTGCTACCTTTCACGCCAGGATGATTAACAGGGATGCATTTTTCTTCTGTTCTCTCCAGACTGAGACACTTCAAATTAATAATAATAATCCTTGCATTTGATATAGCGCTTTTCACGTCGGGAGGACGTCCCAAAGCGCTTAATTTTGATTTTGTATTCCATGACGATCATGAAAGGAAGAGACCCTTAACACTTCAGCTGGGGACTGGATTCATATTCAGGCCCAAGACGTCACACAAGATTGGTTTGGATGGAGAAGGCCCTTTGGCCCATTCAATCTCATCCATCCAGAACACCCACCCTTCCGCCCCCTTCCATAGCACCATCAAAGCTGCTTCTTAAACAACAACAGGTCAGAGCGTCAACCACAGCCAATCATCAGAGCAACTTAAATAAGTAGCTGATAAACTGGTTAAAAGTGTGGTTCTTTGTGTGAGGAGCTGAAAACGGCCGAGTAATAACAATCATTGCATTTATCCCACTGTGGACTTTCTTTAGACAATGTTTTCTAAGGGTTTCTTCTGCCTGGTATTTTGCTCAAGTTGACGCAAATACGCACTTGCACTGTCTCTCTGTTATCACCTACATTTATGGTTCTGTGCTGTCTAACAGCTTTGGTGTATATAATGTATAAATATGTGGTGAATGCAGATTCTTTTGGAACATAAGAAATAGAACGAGAAAAGACCCATGGTTCCATCAAGATTGCTTCACAAACTGTAAACAAATCAATGCAATTTACTTAATCTACTGAGAGAAAGTTCTGTATAATTTCTACGCAGCTCCTGAAGGCAACTGATTGAATGAAACTCTGAACAAACATGGCACATCTCCACTCTGGCTGGTTAGTGCTCCTCATAGAGGGCATTTTCCTTGTCTCAGTGAGAAAGGAATCAATTTTCCATTAGATTTTGAGAATCTCCATCAATAGCTGCACCAACAAGCGTCAAACCAGTTCCACGCCAGATGTTATCTAGTGCGCATCCCATAGTGTAAATATAACAGAATTGAAACAGCTACATGTCGCAGGGTATTATTTTTATCCTTCACTATTACAGGAACAGTGACAGTCAGGTAGACAGACAGACAGACAGACAGACAGACAGACAGGCAGACAAACTTCATAAATTTAAATTATTGCTCTGTCCAAATCCATTCTTTAACATTAAAAAATAGGAAATTAGCTGTTGTGATGCCATCCAGGCAGGTCCCTCACATTCAGCCCATCTCAGCCTGGCATTCTGCACTCACCACAGTGTTGTCTATAAACTGAAATAATTAGGTTTTGAACCCTTTTTTTAAAAACAAAAGATCACAAGATGGGTTCAGATGAACACAGTGCTTCAGCCGATTTGGTTTCATCCTTTCAGATTACCCACCCTACTGACTCCCCATCGCAGCAGCAAGCGAGTTTTTAAAAGAGCCCAGAGGCCTGTACTCAACCGTGCATTCATCAGAAAAGCGATTTGATCATTCTGATATTTCCCTTATGGCAAGGGAAATGACCAGTAATATTTTACACAGTACATCAGTCTCATTTGCCTTTAGCTACAAATACATTCCTTCTCCCCCACCACCCCACCCACCCACACACGCACACACATTCTCATGACACTGAAAGCAACTGCACTTCATCTCCACCTCTCATTCATAGTTTCCCAGGAACTCAACAGTATGCAACTCCATCAGTCTCACCTTTCTCTAAAAATCCAACAGCAATGATAAATCGCCTTGACACAGGATAGTCTCTCGCAGTGTTGCAAGCTATCCTAACCTCGGCATCAGGCAAACAATGCCTCTCACCTCTCCAATTGCTTACAACTTTTCCAAGAGGTCTTGACTCGTGGACCTTCACATAGGCCTGAAAATAAGTCTTCACACTGGCCCACGTAGCATTCACCACATTGTGCTGAACTAGGGAATCATGCCGTACATCACCAAACAGACAAAACCCTGTAAGCTCCTCAGATTGTCAACCTCACATCAGTGATTAAAAACAAAGGTGAAAACCTATCCGCCATTTGAAACAAAGCATCAACGTGTTCTTCACTGAAAAGCCTAGTTGACTTGATACGAAAACATTTCCAACAGCCACGCAAAGGATGAATCAGAATTTGTAACTTAACAAAGTGCCGCTTTAACCCTGAGAGAATTAAAACGAGCTGAAATAGCATATCCTTTCCAGAGAGTAATCAAAATGAACAGTGTCTCATAATTAATTTCAGGTGTGCCGTTTATCTTGCCTTTCAGTATAATTAGATTGGGAAATGCTTGATATGCAGATTGTGAGGCATGTAAATGAATTACATGATTTGATTATAATGTACGCTAATAATAGCTTGCATTTTCCCAGGGTTTCCCAGACCAAAGCACAAAAACGCCATTCTTTTGCTTTAAGCCCTTTGAGCGCTGAATGTCTTCTGCCTGCAATACACTGCACTGTACGGAAACCCCTGTGAGGTGCTTGGGGAAGTCCTCTGGACGTGAAAGACGCTGTATCAAACGCAAGCGTTTTTATTATAGCTTCCAAAACAGGTAACATCAGAGGAAAACAAGAC